TCCGAAATTTTTTTCAGAAGAGAAGATGCATTTTTTCTGCATCCCTGTAAACCTCGTTTTAAGAGGAAGAAGGGATGTTCCGAAAGAAGGCTTTTTTCCTCCACATTTGGCCCACTGGAGACTTCCAAAAAACAATGCGGAAAAAAATACGCAAATTGCAATTCGAAATTTGCATATCTTTTTCCGGAAGAACTGTGTAGTCTAGACCAGTGATCCCCAACACGGTGCCCGCGGGCTTGGGGGGGGAGGGCGCGGTGCATGTGTCCCCGCCCTCTGGCGCCCGGCAAGCGAACGGCCACGCCCCCTGGCGCCCCGCAGCCTCTAAAGGTTGGGGACCACTGGTCCAGACCCAGCCTGGTTCTAGATAGGAGCCAGTGCCCCCTAGAGGAAAAAAAACCCATCTTCCCTTTCGAGCTATGGGTGCAGTGTAGATGCACCCTAACATGTTCTGGGCGGTTTCCCTTCCAGCTGCCGCGATGCTGGGACTCCTCCCTCTGTTCCCCTGCCTCTTCCTCCTCTCCCGGCCGGACCCTTGCTTCAGCTCCGATGATGACGGCACCGTGGTGCTCACCACCAGCGGCCCCATCCGGGGCAAGCGTCTCCCAGTCGGCTCCAGCTCAGTGACGGCCTTCCTGGGGGTCCCCTACGCCCAGCCCCCTCTGGGGCCCTTGCGCTTCCAGAAGCCGCTTCCCCACCAGCCCTGGAGCGAGGTCCTGGAGGCCACCCGGACCCTTGCTTCAGCTCCGATGATGACGGCACCGTGGTGCTCACCACCAGCGGCCCCATCCGGGGCAAGCGTCTCCCAGTCGGCTCCAGCTCAGTGACGGCCTTCCTGGGGGTCCCCTACGCCCAGCCCCCTCTGGGGCCCTTGCGCTTCCAGAAGCCGCTTCCCCACCAGCCCTGGAGCGAGGTCCTGGAGGCCACTGGTTTCGGCCACGCCTGCCCCCAGCCTCCGCTTACTGATTACCCCGATGGCAAATTACTCACACCCAAAATGCCACAGTCCGAAGACTGCCTCTTCCTTAATGTCTGGGTGCCCCACCCGCGGCCCCCCGCGCCTGCCCCCATCCTCGTCTGGATCCACCCCGGGGTGTTCTACTTAGGCGCAGCTTCCCTCAAAATCCACGACGGGCGCTTCCTAGCCGCCTATGGGAAAATGATCGTGGTTTCCATGAACTACCGGCTGGGGGCGCTCGGCTTCCTGGCTCTGCCCCCCGCCGCCCCGGGCAACGCCGGCCTGTGGGACCAGCTCCTGGCTCTGCGCTGGGTGCGGGACAACGTGGCCGCCTTCGGGGGGGGCCCGGCCCATTTGATGCTTTCCGGCCAGGGCACAGGGGGGTCGGCCGTCGGATTCCATCTCCTGTCCCCGGGGAGCCGGTTTCTCTTCACCCGCGCCGTGCTGCAGAGCGGATCCCCCATCTCTCCAGGTGCTTGGACCTCACTCCAGGAGGCCCAGGAGAGAGGCCGGAGGCTGGGCCAGCTGATGGGCTGTGCCAACAGCAATGACACGGCCCTGGTGGGCTGCCTGCAGGGGAAGGAAGCCGGGGAGTTCATCAAACACGAGCGGGCGGTCTTCAGCCACAACGATCTGACGGGGTTCGCCTTCGTGCCAACACCCGACGGGGATTTCCTCCTGGATACACCCCCCCGGCTCCTGCAGGCGAAACGGAGCCAGCGAATGCCCATCGCCACCGGCTTCACCCCCAACGAAGGCTCCTACATACTAATTTTTGACTTCCCCGATCTCAACCTGGACAACGCCAGCAACGTCGGCCTGGAGCAGCTGCTGCAGGTGGTGAGGCTGGGGGGGGCCCGGGGGGCGGGAGAGGG